CGTCCCCCGCCGTGGGGGCCGGCGATGCTCGCCGCCTGGCGCCCCCGGGGCGGAACCCCTTCGTGCACGAGCTCCGCTTCAGCGCCCTGCAGAAGGCCCAGGTGGGTGCGCGCCGCTCCGCCCGCGCCCGGCTCGGTCCCGGGGAACGCGGGCACCCCCGCCCCGACCCAAGGCCGGCCGCCCTCCTCCCGCCCTCCGCCGCCCGCGTCCTGGGGCCCCGCACCCCGGATCCCGCCGCCGGCACCGCGCCCACCACTCGCATCCTGGGGCCTCGGATCCCCGCCACCAGCACCCCGCCCGCGTCCCGGGGTCCCGCCGCTCTCATCTTGGTCCCCAGCTCCCTGGGCCCACCGCCGCCCGCGCCCCGCGCGCGCCGCCTCCCACCTCCGCCGCCCTCATCCCGAGGTTCCGCCATCCGAGGCCCCGCTATCGGTACCCCAAATCCGACTCCTCACTCCAAATCCCCGCCTCCCACAACGCGAGCCTGGCTCTGCATCCCGCCCCCCCCGCCATCCGCACCCGGATCGTAGCTTCTCGCTTTCGTCCTAGGGACCCCCCACTGTTCCCATCCGAGTCCCGGCACCGCTAGCTGAGCTTCGCACCCCGAGTCCCCGCCATCCCCACTCGGGGTCCAGCATCTGCTTTGCGGGCGCAGGCCTCGTGCTTTACCAGGGGCGGCCCCGGCGGGCTTCCCCTTTGCCACGGGCCGGCTGGTGTTGGGGGCGGCTGGCGTGGGGATCTCCGCGCCTTTGAATCGGTGCCGCAAACAGCGGGCCTTGATGACTGTGGGGGGGGGGCCCCCGAGCCCACTGCGCAGCCAAGGCTGCTCACCTCGGGCTTGCAGGTGGCTTTCTGGGCTGTGCGCCTTGTCCCCTCCAAGGGCAGCGCCCTGGGGACTTGGACCACTAGATCCGCACCCCTCTGGCTTGTTGTGTGCGGGAGGGCGGCGTACGGTTTGCTCTGCGCGGTGCGCGGTGGCGCACGCAGGAAGCAGAGGCGCCTGTCCCTGGCCCCTGGTTGCCACGTGTGCTTGGCCCGCCGAGGCTGTGTCTAAGGCAGCAGCGGGCTTTCCGAGCTCACATTCCGCTAGCGTCGCGTGGAGTTGCTGACTGTACTTGCATTTCTCAGAAAGTTCCTCACAAAGGGATCTTTCTTTGGACTCCGGAATAATGCTTGGGGTAGATGTTGCTCTGGGCCTGTCCAGTTCTTGGAGAATGCAGTTCCCCCTTTCCAAAGGTAAGAACGCGTCTTTCCTTGAGATTTAGTTCTTGAGCTTGTGGGTTTTTTTGTTTGTTTGTTTTGTTTCTTCGAAATGTAAAGCAAGTCATCTAAAGTAACAGTGCAAAGTAAAGTCCTTGATAAGTTTTCTGCCAAGCCCCTTCGCCATGGTGGCGCTGGGGTTAGGAGAACGGGCCAGAGGAAGTGGGCAGATTCCCCTCCTGGTGGCCTCTGGGCTGGGAGGGCCTTGTCCTGTCTGACCAGACCCAGGGTGGGGGGACAGTGCTCCCCCCATTTCTGCCCTCCCCTCTGCTGAAAGCCTGCACCCACTAATTTCCTGGATCTTTGGCCCCCTACCCACAGCCCAGGTGGGGCTCCAGGGGTCTCTTCCCTGCTGTGGTGCTTAGAAACCCCTTCCCCCCCTTAGATGCCTTAGTACTGAGCCCCCACCCCCTTGTGGTTTCTGAGGCCTTTCCTTGCCCTGTCCTGTCCTCCCCACCCTCCTCAGACTTTGCCACACTGGCTGGGGATACAATCTGTGGGTGCTCTTCCATCCTACTGACCATTCATCATCACTCCTGCAGCTCCCTTCCTGGACATCCAGGTTGCAGGGCTGTGGGCTGCATGAGGGTCAAGCCTGCCCTCCCATGCAGCTGGCCCATAGCTTGGTGAAGGTCTAGGTCAGAGCTCCGCTCAGGGTTGTGAAGCGAACAGACGAACCCAGCAGCGTGGCTCTCAGAGCAGCATCAGCTGTCCCCAACCCTGGCCAGCTCTCTGCCCCATAGACTTGGAGAGGGAGCTGTTCTCCTGGCCCCTCTGGTAATGGTCACAGAGCTTCTGGCACACAGAGCTGGAAGGTTCCATTAAAGCAGAGGCTCCTCGGTAAATCTGGCTGCAAGGTCAGTATCCTGCTTTTGGAGGTTCTCCCCCATACAGGAGTTCCTGGTGGCCTAGTAGTGAAGATGCTTGACCGCCAACCCCAGTGTCAGCAGTTCAAAACCCCTAGCCACTCTGAGGAAGATGTGGCATTCTGTCAAATACCCCAGGGGACACTCCTCCGCCCTCTGTTGTTATATAATGTCAAGTCAGAACTGACCCATAGCGGGCCCTCCAGTGGGTTTTCAGAGACAAATTGCCCATCTTTCTCCCAAGGAGCAGCTGGTGGATTCGAGCTCTGTGCCTTCGAGCTCTCAGTGCAGCTCTTTACCACTAGGCCACCAGAGCACCTCTAGGATCACTCTCAAGTTGAAGTCACCTCAGTACCTCAAGAACAATGCTCATGGGTTTGGAGGTTTATTTTTTGGCCTTGGTTTCTTCTTGGGTGATGCAAACAGGCAGCAGGCTAGTAACTAAAAGGTTGGTGGTTCAAACTCACCTGGAGACTCCTCAGAAGTAATGCCAGGTGTTCTGTTTCCAAAAGGTGGCAATCACGGAAAACACTGGGTGCACAGCTCAGTTCTGCAGCCAGGGGTCTCGCTGCATGGGCCTGCTCCAGGACCACTGGTTCTGATTCCCTTCTGTGACATTGACATTCAGAAAAATGTCGGGTGTGCTGAGCTGTTAGGGCCCCCGAGAGAGGGAGATACTTGGTTTGCATCTTGGTGCGGTGTTCCCCTTGGCTAATTTCTGGGTAAACCTGGGAGTTCTTACGACAGAGTCACTTCTCACGTGATGCCCGCCTGAGACAGCACTTTAACTTGTCTCTGCAAAAACATTCAGCTTTTCCCGAAAACAGGGCTCTGTGAACCTCTCACCTTTGCACCCTGTTATCCTCAAAGTCTCCATAGAGGAAAATAGCCTGTCCTTCAAGAAAAGAAAACCTGACCCCATGTCAACAGACAGGATGAAACAAGTATGTCAGAAATGATGAGTACGCCACAGGATAGGCCAGGGTTCAGTTCTTCTCATAGGATACTCGATTCGACAGCACCTAACAAAAAACATCACACCAGTAAGAGAATCCCGTTATGATTCAAACAGGTGGTCCTGAAACCCGATCAGTACTCGGAGCTGTGCTGCTGGCGTGGGACTGCCAGCGTCCACCTGAGAAAATGCCCACGCAGAATGGGCTGCTGTTTGGGGGGGGGTGGACTCTGTCCTTGGATTAATGCTGTGCCCCCTCCCTCCTCCCGTGGGCCCATCTGTCATTTAACTACAGAGCCAGTAAGGCGCTTATGCAGCTCTGTGGCCACAAACAGCGTGTGGGCATCTGCAGGGAAGCCAGTAAAACCATTGGGGGAGGGTCTCGAAAAGGTCCTATTTTTAGTCCTCCTCCCCCAACTTCAGCTTGCATCTCAAAGGCCCTTGGTTCGAATCTACCAGTTGCTTTACAAGAGAAGGTGGAGTCAGTCTTCGCCCATTTGATTTACTGCCCTGAAAACCCACTGGAGGGGTCAGGTCACTCCTCCTTCAAGTGCACATAAGAGCAACAGTATATTTAAGGATATAGATTACTCTGATTGGTACATTATTGAATTGGTTCTTTTGGGCAAAGATCCTCCTGGTCCCGTGTTCCTCTGCTTGTGTTTGTAGACAGGAAGTAAATTTTAAAAAAAATTTTTATTATTGTTTGTGTACCATCAAATCAGATCTGACTGATACAGGAGATTGTCCCTCCTTCTCCAGCAGAGCATCTGGTGGAAGGAAGTGAATTTTTTAAGGCTCACGTTGAAATTGGTGGGTGGGGTTAGGCGCATCCTGTCTCCAGCTGTGACTTGTGGAGCCTGCTCACCTCCCAGTTCTCAGCTCCTGCTGGGTCCAGAACCTGCCCCATCCGAATTGACCTCCTGGTGGGCACCTCTGCTTCCCATAGACTCGGAATCCGTCCTCCCCACAGTGGTGAACTCAGGGTCCAAGTGGCTGCTGAGCTCTTTGGTGTCCTGACCTCCTTCTCTCCGAGTCTAATCCACAGAGGGGATTACTGATGGGGACTGAATCTGGGCACGGATTCTACCCTTAGCTGAGAGGAGACCCTCCCCTCCCTTCAGGTCCACCCGCGGCACCTGTGGAATTTAATTATCCTGAAGGAGGCAGGCTTTCCTTCCAGATTCTTACTCTCAGCATCTGGGATGTAATGATGGGAAAAGCTGCAGGGTGCATCTGGTCTCAGCCTTGACCTGCAGTTGTTGTGAGCTGAGGGCCAGTGGGCCCCGAAGCAGGGTGAGCCCTTCCACGCACAGAGCAGGGAAGCGTTGGCCAGGCCTGACCTAGCCATCTCCCGTGTGCAGGACCACCGTGTGCACGTGCTCATCTTCAGGAGTTAACAGCCAGGCCCTTCTTCCTTGTCTGTTTCTGTCTGGATGTGCTGCTGCGCCCTGTTCAGAATCACAGCATCTGGAAGACCCCCGATTCATGACGGTGGTAACCACTCTTGTGGTGGCCCCTCTGTGGTGGTGTGTGTGAGGCACAGGGGTCCGTGGCAACGTGTGTGAGGTTCAGGGGCAGGGATGAAACCTGAGCGTCCCGCGTGGAAGGTGAATAATCCTGCCACTGAGCCCCCTCTGGCCCTCATCTTGTTAGATGTGGGCATTTCTTGACTGGGAGCCCCAGCTGCCCTGCACAGCAGCAGGTGTTTTCTGTGCCCTGCGCCCCACGTGTGGATGGCTTGTCTTGTGTGACAGAAAACACTCCACTCCCCACCCCATCGCCATCATCCCCCTTCCACAAACACGCAGGCGGTGTGGGGGAAGAGTACTGAGTATCCCATGGACTGCTGTAAGCAAAGCAGGTACGTCTTGGGAAAAGTGCAGCCAGAGTGCTCTTGGGAGGCACGGGTGGCGAAGTTCTGTCTCGCACACTTTGGACATGTTTCTTGTTGTTGTGTACTGTTGAGTCGAAACCGATCCCTAGCTGACCCTCTGGTGGGTTTTCAGAGACAGATAAT